GTATTTTTCAGTTTCATTTTTTTTCTTTTATTTTACTCTTCTTGTACAAAATGACTAATATGGACATTTTTTACATAATTGTACATGTATAACCTATATCTGCTTATCATGTCAGGAAGGGGGAGGTGGAGGGATAGAATTTGGAACTCAAAACTTTAAATAAAAATGATTTTTAAAAAATGATTGCATGTGAAACTTCAAAAAACAAAAATCAAATTAGGCAAGGAGAAACTAATAACTTTGTAAGACACCAAGATATAATAAAACAAAATTGAAAAAATTGAAGAAATAGAAGAGAACATGAAATATCTCATTAGAAAAAGAGCTGACCTGGAAAACAGATTGAGGGGAGGTAATATAAGAATTGTTGGACTACCTAAAAGTCATGATCAGAAAAAGAGTCTAGACTCTATACTTTAAGAAATTATTAAGGAAAGTTTCCTGAATTTTAGAACTAGAGGATGAAATACAACTTGAAAGAATCCACTGATTACTTCCTGAAAGACATCCCAAAATGAAAATTCACAGAAACGTTATAACTAAGTTTCAAAACTCCTGGGTCAAGGAGACCAATACAAGCAACTAGAAAGAACCACTTCAAATGCTGTGAAGCTACAGTCAGGATCACACAAGATTTTGCAGCTTCTATATTAAAAGTCTGAAGGATGTAGAATACATATTCCAAAGAGCAAAGGAGTTGGGTTTGCAACCAAGAATAACCTACCCAGCAAAGCTGAGTATAATCCTACAAGGGAAAAAATAGATATTTAATGAAATAGAGGAGTTTCAAGCATTCCTGATGAAAAGACCAGAGCTGAATAGAAAATCTGACATCCAAACACAAGACTCAAGAGAAGCATAAAAAGGTAAATACGAAAGAGTAATCATAAGGGACTCAATAAAATTAAACTACTTAAAATTCCTATATGGGGAAATGGCACATGTAACTCCTAAGAACTTTATCACAATTACAACAGTTAAAAGGAGTTTACATAGACAGAGGGCATGGATATAAGTTGATTATGTTGGAATGACCCCAAAAAAACCAAAGTTGGCATTTTTGAAAAATGGCAGAGTAGGTCAGAAATTTCCAGGATCTCCAGATTTCCTCCAGAAACAGACAGAAAGCTATCACAAAAGGAATGTAGAGCCGCAAAAATAAAGGGGTGAAGCAGTTGTCCTCCTAAGACATCTTGAGAGGGCCTCAGAAAAGACAGGACCTCCAGGGGCTGAGGTTTGGCCTGTGTGAAGTATAGACACCTCCAGGCCAATTCCACTGAATTGACAAACACCAGACCCCGGGACAGGTGTCAGAAGCAGAATAGGCCTCAAGAAATTTCACCTCACTCAGGGCTTCAAGAAATTTCACTCCACTAACTTTCACCTCACAGCCTCAAGAACTTTCACCTCATGAACTTTTACCTCACTGATTTTCATCTAAGGAGCAGCAGACAGCTGAGTGGGGGAAGATTGAAGGAGCCCACCCATACACCCACACCTCACCCCCCCCACACCTTCAGACTGCTTCTGGACACTGCGTCTGGCAGTGCTGAACAGAAGTGATACGAGGCTGCAGGCAAGGAGAAGTGAGCATACACCTGGTGAATGCAGTACTGGTACCACAGGAAGCAAGAACATTTTCAGGACAGTATGGCTGAGGGCCCTAACTGTGATTGGGGGAGGAGAAGACTCCCTGAGGTTGAGCCCATGGACAGAATTCAGGAAATAACAGCAAGGAGGACCTGAGGCCTAGGACAATATTACCCACAACTGGGGATTAAAACCTGATTGTAATAATAAACTACTAAAAATAAATTAAAACAAAATAAAAATAAAAATGTGTAAGCAAAGGAAAAAAGAACCTAAACATAGATAGCTATTTTGGTATAAAAGAACAGTTGGGTTCATATTCAGAGAAAAATAGTGAGGTTAAAAAAGCCACTCCTACTCAAAGAGTAACATCAAATGGTCACAAGCCCAAAAAGAGTTCTTGGAAGAACTCAAAAAGGAATTCAAAAATCAAATAAAAGAGATTGAGGAAAAATTAGAGAAAAAAATAAAAGCAATCCAAGAAAATTATGAAAAGAAAGCTAACCAATTGGAAAAAGAGATACAGAAAATTTTTAAAATTAATTTATTTTGATTTATCAACAATTACTTCCATAAGTTTTTGAGTTTTAAATTTTTCTCCACCTCCCTCCATAAGACAGCATGCAATCTGATATAGACTATACATATACATTCTTATTAAACATATTTTCACATTAGTAATGTTGTAAGTAAGAATTAGAACCAATAGGAGGAACCATCAGAAAGAGGAAACAAAACACAACAGAAGAAAAAAAATAGCAAATAGTATGCTTTGATCTGCATTCGAACTCCATAGTTCTTTCTTTGGATGTGGATAGTATTTTCCATCATGAGGCCTTTGGAGATATCTTATATCCTTGTATTGCTAAGAAGGGTTAAGTCTATCAATATTAGTACCTAACTGAGTATGTTATTTTCCTGCTTGAGCCAAATCTGATCAGAGTAAGGTTCAAACAATGCTCATTTCTCTCCCTTCTTTCCCTCTGCTGTAATAGGTTTTTATGCCCTTTCCTGTAATGGAATTTACCCTTGTCTGCCTCCTCCTTTCCTTTTCTCTCAGTATATTTTCTTAGATCAGATTAATCCACTTACTTGGATCCATTTAATCCACTTAGATTTTTTTTATCATTACATCAAAGTCAATTTATACCCACCCCCTTTATGTATACCCCTTTAACATGGTGTAATAACAATACGGTTCTCAAGGGTTACAAGTGTCATCTTCCCTTGTAGGGATGTAAACAGTTTGCCCTTATTAATAACATGTTGTTTCTTTCTTTCCCGTTTACCTTTTTATGTCTTTCTTGAGTCTTGTATTTGAAGATCAAATTTTCTGTTGAGCTCTGGTCTTTTGGTCTGGAGGGTTTGGAAGCCCCTATTTCATTGAATATCCATCTCCTCCCCTGAAAGATCATGCTCATTTTCACTGGGTAGTTTGATCCTTGGTTGTAATCCAAGCTCCTTTGCCTTCCACAATATCGTATTCCATACCCTACAGTCTTTTAATGTAGAAGCTGCAAGGTCCTGTGTAATCCTGACTGTAGTTCCATGATATTTAAATTGTTTCTTTCTGTATTTTCTCTTTGACCTGGTAATTTTGGAATTTGGCTACTATATTCCTTGGTGGTTTTAATTTGGGATCTCTTTCAGGAGGCGATCGGTGGATTCTTTCTGTGGCTATTTTACCCTCTGGTTCTAGGACCTCAGGGAAGTTTTCCTTTATGATTTCATGAAAGATGCTGTCCAGGCTCTTTTTTTCATCATGATTTTCAGGTACACCAATAATTTTTAAATTGTCTCTCCTGGATTGATTTTCCAGGTCAGTTGTTTTACCAATGAGGTATTTTATGTTTTCATCTATTTTTTCATTCTTTTGTTTCTGTTTGACTGATTCTCACTCTCTCATAGAGTCATTAGTTTCCACTTGTCTGATTCTAACTTTTAGCAAATTGTTTTTTTCTATTAGATTTTGTGGCTCCTTCCCATTTGGCCAATTGTATTTTTTAGGGACTTGTTTTCTTCAGTGTACTTTTTTTCCAGTTGGCCAATTGAATTTTTTTAAGGACTTGTTTTCTACAGTTAATTTTTATCCTTCCTTTTTTAAGCTATTGACTCTCTCTTGCATACCTCTCATTTCTTTTCCCATTTTTTTCTTCTATCTCTCTCATCTGACTTTTAAAATCTTTCTTGAGCTCTTCTAAGAAGGCTTTTTGGGCTTCCGACCAGTTCATATTCCCTTTTGAGGTTCCAGATGTGGGTTTATTGACAATGATGCCTTGATCTTCACTGTTCCCATAATAAGAATCTATCGTACATTTCTTTTTGCTCATGGTGTTTGCTTATTTCCTGGCCTTTAAAGAGATTGGGCTCTCCTGCTGGGGAGCAGAGGGCACTGACCCAAGCTCCTTGTGTTGGAAGCCCAGGGCCTGGTCACTAGCTTTGTGTACTGGGACCTCTGATGCTGGCAGTTGGAGGCTGTAGGATTCTGGCCGCTTACTTGGTGTTTGACTGGAATCAGCAATACTGGAACTCTAGGGGTAGAATTAGGTAGTGTGGCTCCTGGAGAGTTCCTGCTCACCCAGGCCTTTTCTTCCTTTTGCTTTCTTCAGCTCCTTCAGATGAATGTTGCAAAATGTTTATCCACTTAGGACCCCTTGGAGTACTTCCCAGAGTTTTGCTGAGGCACTGGGAGACCCAGTTGCTCTAGAATGCCAAGGCAACTGGTGGTTTTCCCAGCTGGTTTCCACCAATTCCTCTGGCTTCACTGAGGCACTCTGGTGTCCTGGGGTTGGTGTTTACCTGCTCCACCACCTGGATTTCAGGATCTCTTCCTGGTATGCTGAGGAGGGGCTTTCCACTAGTTTGCTGGGATGCCTCCAGTTCTGTACTGCTCCCCTTTCCCCAGGGCAAGAGGGGCCTTTCCTGTTTAATCCCCTCAAGCTGCCTGGGATACTGGACTGCTGTACTCTGTATTTCTTCTGGTTCAGCTGTTCCATGGTTTTTCCTGGGGCAATATTTTCTGGGCTTTCAGAGGTTAATAAGGGAGGGTAAGAGTGACTTACTTCTTACTCCACCATCTTGGCTCCCAGTGACCAAATGTCTTCCTTCTCATTTTAAGAAGGAAATTCTCCCTATCTTTTGCTATTTGAACCTCATTAAAGAAGAGTTTTGACTTATATTCAATATTTCTCAGCATCTATTGTAATGATTATATGATTTCAAACTATTATTCCTATTAATATGATGGATTATATAAATGAGATCCTTATCCAAGTTATGCATTCCAAGAATAAGCCTTATGAGATTACCATAGATAATTTTAAAAAACATGTTGGGTTCTCTTTGCTAATATTTTCTTTATGAGCATCATCAATGGCATGGAAGTGACCCTGGGTTCTCTATTTGAACAGGTTCTATCTTGCAGAAGAGCCTTCAAGTAGAGCTACTACAGAAGACTATATCTGTTTGCTGAGGATCAGCCAAGGTATGAAGAGACTTGCCACAAGCATACTGGCCCATTGGTGATGAATACTTAGCTCATGGTGAACAAAAACACAAACCAACCTTTAGTCCTGTATATTCCCTTTCAACTTCCTCTGTAACTGTGGTAGAGTGGTTGAAAAGGGTGTAGAGGCTGCTAAGAACCACACAGTTTTTAGGCCACTAGTAAACATTAACATAGCTATTGTTACATTAAATGTGAGATATGTGTCCAGGGATCAAGTGGATATATTATTGGAGGAAGAGAATTACATAAAACCTGATACTCTTATTAGAAATGAAAGCAACAGACAAAAGGAAACTCCCCTTAAATGGAAGAATCAAATAAAGGAAACAATGGAGTAGATTTTATCATGCCTCCAAAGACAACACACTACATCATTTCATGGGACTTGGTCATCTTGTATTGCAATGATAATGATAAGCACTTTACGAAAGTATATAAGTGTGATGAAAAGAAGTGTGACTGGCGTGCTACTATCATCAGTTGAAGAGGAGGTAAAGAAATTCCATGAAGAAATTAAATTCAATGTATACAAGTGCTCAACGATTTCGCTGAAAAGGCGAGCTTAGGAGATGCTAAGAATTATGTTGGCAGTTATGGTTCAGGAGTAAGAAAGGAGAGACCAAAGGCTTTTTGAACCTCACAAAAGATTGATAGCTAGATTGCAAATACTTTCTTTGGAAAAAGAATGAGGAGAAACTAGTTGTTCCCAGCACCACAGCACAAGTGCCTACCATTCCCCAAACGTCCACGCTTCCATCGCACACTCTTGTTCCATATTTGTGATCAGATCACTACTAAGGATGCTATTAGAGAAGGAGTGATAATCTACTGTTCTGTAACTTCACTCACAATTTCTTTAATTGCCTATGCCAAAACTCTCTTCCCCCACCACTGTTCTCCTATCTCCCTTTCTTAGAATGTAAATTCCTTGAGGGCAGGGACTGTCTCTCTTTTGCATTAGTATGCTTTATGCCTAACATAGTGCCTGCCATATAATATGCACCTAATAGTCTTGTTGATTTGATTGACTCATATAGGAGTTATTCCAGCTATATCAGCTATTCCAATTATATCAGCTGTTCCTGGACAACAAACTTCTGAATTGTTAGAACAAAGATCAAAATTAATACACAAGTAAAAGAAAGAGTAAAATTAGAAAATGATTCAGCACGAAATTATTTTTACTTGAGCTGTTTAATAAGTCATCAATACTGATTTAGTCTACTATGACACACTCAGATCCCTGCAATAATTCTGGTATATCCAAGATAGAGATCCTAGTTCAATACCGTGTGTAGACCCCAACTGACAAATCAGGACCAACTAAAGGAAAGCTATCACAGGTTTGAGGTATTCCATCTTCACTCCTAAAACTATATAGTTTTCAAACATTTGGAAAATAAAGTGGAGAAACAACATACACTTCTGCATATTTAGGATCCCTGACATCCTTTCAGGATAATCTTTTAATCAGAATAGCTACTTTTAATCAAGCAAAGCATTGGTTGATTTTACAATTGTGCTGGGCTTACTTGACTTGCTTTCTTTAGGACTCATACCTCTGCTAGGCGAAACAAAAATTTATGTAGTATGTATTATGTGCCAGACACTGTGCTAGGTACTCTACAAATATTACCTCAATTGATTCTCACAACAACCCTGGGAGGTGGGTGCTATTATTATCCCCATTTTATGTATGAGGAAATTGAAGGAAACAGAGGTTAAATGACTTACCTAGAGTCACACAGCTAGTAAGCACCTGAGACCAGATTTTTGCACTCAGATCTTCCTGACTCCAGGCCCAGCGGTCTATCCACTGTACCACCTTGTTTCCGTAGTTGGCCACAGTTTCTGCCATGTCCAATTTCTGGCTTAGCTGAAGTCAGTGGCTGGGGAGGTATGCTGTTTAAGTACCAGAACCTTAGCAATAAGACCAGTGGGAGGTTCCCCTTTTCTGTTCCCCGAGAGTCTTGTATATCATCTCCTGAGCAGCAGAATCCTAGCTCTACATACCAAGTTCTATCTCTTCTGGCCACATGCTTTTAGTTCAAGATATCTTCACCAATGGGGGAGTGGGAGGAGAAATATCCTTCTCTTTTGATGTATGGCCAAGGGGAATGGTGAAGAGCAAACCTCAGAGCTTCCTTACAAACTAGGTCACAGTCTCAGAGTGGATCTACCTTGCTTTTTAAAGGTGGCAGGCCTACTCCTCAGCCAGCCAACCACTAAAAGTTCCCTTTGCTGCATTGCTGTTGCTCATCCTTTACTTTCAAAGAGGACCAATGACATCACGGGATGATGTCTTGACTAATGTGTGAATTGGATTTAAGTAAGGAAGAGTTGCCCAAAGTCATCAGCCTCACTCTTACAGAGCATCAAAGTTCAAGGGCAAGACAAAAGCCAAGAAGACTGGCAATGACCTGGTATGCAGTGCATAACCTTGGCATCTTTTTTTTTTAGTTTTAACATTTATTTACCCAAGACCACCTAGCCTGCACTCTACTTGGATAAATTTTACAAGCTAGTTTTCTGCTGCTTCCCATTTTATACTTTAACCACGTTCTGACGACAAGAAATGCTGCAAAAGTACTCAGTTCAACAAATAGTTATGATCACAAAATAATCTTTATCCATTCTACAGTGTTTCAGACTTACTAGTTGATTTTTAAACATAAAGTAGATAACAATGCTAATGGTGGCTAATTTGGCATGTTTCTTATAGCAAACCACTGTTCATGCAATACATGTGCTCAATGGGAAAGGCACAGGGTTTTCTACAATGAACCACATTAAAAAGAGTTCTCCCTTTTATGCAAATTTATTTGTGTCACATTTATTTTAGTGTGCAGAACCTCAAAACTGAGGTATTATTCCAATTTATAAAAACCACTTGCATGCCTTTTATGCAAGTTTTAGAAACACAAAGTTTTCTCCCTAAAGTGGCTCAAAACAGATTGTCCATGGCTGCCTACATCTGAGATAAAAAGATTCTAAAGCAATTGAACAGAGCATGCATATTATTAAAGGTGTTCAAACCATTACTTTATTTGTACATCTATTCACACCTCATTATCAGTCTTTATTTAGCAGTACATATGCACCAAATTCCATTTTAGAAGTTTACATATCATCTTCATAGAAAACAAAGTTTGAAAGCAAGTAACATTTAAACACAGCATGGGATTCTACCGCAACTGAAAACTTTTTTCTTTTGCTTCTTTGCAGGACTCAACAAAATCTAAAACTGAGCTAGGCTGTAGATTATTACCATATTCAAATAGCTTCATGTTATCTTTGAAAATGAAAAGGATGGCTTTAGAAAGCACATTTTACTGTTTCTTACTATTATGGCAACTTGTATACTGCAACACAGTCTATTTGGAGGGAAATTTTGATTTTTCATGCAAAAGTCTACGCAAATTAGTTTTGATGGTATGGAAAGCTTTTAGTAACATCAAACATTCATCTGGTGCAAATGCACAGGGACTCCTTCCTGAAAAGTTATCTAACTTGACAAGCAAGTAATAAAGTAATAAAGCCATACTAGATAAAGTAATGGGGAGAAGAATGAAAAGAAAAAGAACAAACAGAAAGGAAAGGGGAAAAGAAAAGGTCCAAGAGAAAGGTCAAAGAAACTCAGGCTGCAGAAATAAACCAAAGTCTGCTGCTAAGCCGGTCTTTTATTCTGATGTCCAGTGTACGCCAACACTTAGGGTCTCCCCCTGATGATTCCCAGGTTTGTCCCCAGCCCCTCAAGGCAAATCAAGCTTGCATGCTTCCCCATATGGCACCACAACCACACTGTCACACACATGCTCCTCCACAACTTGGGATCTGCTCCCCGATAGAGGAGCCCTGACTCTGAAAGATGAGCCTGGCTCCGCACCTTGGCATCTTTGAGGTCTGACCAAGTTCTAAATACTCCACAGCACCTGCTACAGCTACTTCATGACTGTTGGAACAAATTATTCTCATCCACCCATTCTGCTTGCAATGTCTTCACATGCTTGGGGTACACCTCCTACTTCACAGACAGGTTTGACAGTTCGTCATGGAGAAGGAATAGGAATACTCTTTGCTCTCCCATTGCTGCTTCCACACTCTTCCTTTACTACCCTCACACAGGAACCTCTTATCCTTTGAGGTTCACAACTCTCCAGATTTATCACCCAACGTAATTCCTAGTGGCCATTATTTATCTATTGTCTGGGACATTCTTCCTTCTTCAATGAGCTAAGTGCCTGATTCACAATTTCTATCACAATCCTGCCTCATACTTGGGGACTTTAGCATATAATTGATGTTCTCCCAACTACCTTAACTTCCCAGTTCTTCAGCTGACTCAATTCCTATAACTTGTTTCTCTTTTAACCAACAATGTAAATGGAGCCAATAGACTTAGATTCTAATATCACAATCTCCTATGTGCAACATAAAGAAGTAGAAATGGCACTAATGGCATAAAGATGGTGAGAGCATCTGAATCTGGCCTTGACTACATGTATGCAGAAAGGTTCATGCTAGAGGCAAAACAATTTTGAGTACACTGAAGGATCAATTCTCAAAGTATCTGAAAGATGGAAAGATTCTAAAAGCTTAGACAGAATCTTGGACCTTGTTATGACAAAAAAAGAAATGGCAATCAAAAGAAAACCCATAACTTCTAACCTACTTACGTACTTTCTCATGTCTACAAAACTTTATGAGAATACTCTAATAGAAGACCAAGGAAGTAAAGTATTTGGCCGAGGTCATATAGGACATAGGCATAAGATTTGAATCCAGGTCCTCTGATTCCAAAGCTAGCATTTTCCCCTCACTGTGCCACAATCTTTAAGAAAAGTATATATATATATATATATATTTTAAAAATACTTTTGCTTTTGTCAATGATATTCTTCAGCAGAACACATCATTACACAAACGACATAAAGAAGCAGAAAATAAAACATTCTACTGGGCTTATTGTCCGTTAAGTGTTAAAAGAAAAAAAAAGATTGATTTTATTAAACAAAATGCCACCTTAAATGTTCCTCCAATAAGGTGCCTCCCAATCATATATCAAACTCATACAAAATTCTTGAAGGATGTAACAACAGAAATAACTTGGCTCAAAATTTCTTTGATTATTAGTATCAAGTGACCATAAAACAAGGAAATAAATATCCACAAAAGTGTTTGCCACCAGCATGGAGGATGTCCAACAGTTTCCAATGAAATAGGTTTTCTCTACAGATGGTGAGATTCTGAAGATAGTTATTCTCACTGGCAAAA